AAAAAAAAAAAAAAAAAAAAAAAAAAAAAAAAAAAAGAGACTGAACTTATCATTTTAACAGAAAATATCCCATCTTTCCCCTCCAAATTGAGTCTGACTACAAACTTACCCTGGCAAGCATTGGACCTACGAGGATGTGCCCTTTTCCCCAGGACAGAAGAATGCCGGTGGAGCAACTGATTAGAAGATTAAGCTGCTGCCAAATTTGTCCTGCCAGTAACTAATTTATTCTCCAATGGATAACTTATTCCAGCTCCTGAAATCTGCAGCATGGATCCAAGGAGTGGTTTGGCTCAGAGGAGGCAGTGTGATCAGCCTCTGAGCTCCATATATAAAATATGAACCTGATGCTGAGGGTGGGGGTGTCATTGTCTTTGGAAGTTGGAGCCATTGTAGTGCTTCAGCCCATCCATCTCTCTGGGACATCTGTATATCCAGATTATTTGTACCTCTGGACTGGGTCCCAATCACTGTCTTTCTTTTCAACTTGTCTCCAGTTTTATCCCAAAGTTTTTTCTTCTCAGAAACTGGACTTAGCCCAGTGAAGTGGTGTGTTCTTAGTCAAAAGTTATGAACAGCAGTCTCATCTCCAGTGTCTTAGATACTAAATGGGAAATCATAGGAAAAAAATAATATAGGCATGGACATATGTTTACTTACATACATCCTTTACTCGCCTATCTTTATGTAAACTTACTAAAAAGAGCAGTCCAGATTTCTTGGCTATGTGTTAATGGAACTAGTGCCACATACAAGTGTTTTTCTTGCCTGTTGTTTTCCTCACCTGAAGTTTGCTCCAGGTCCAGCAAAAATCTTTCCATCAGTGAAGCTGAACTGACTTTTTGGCATCCCAATTGCCACCACGATGTCAGAGTGACAAGGAGAGAGGTGAAATCTCTGCCAACCTATGTTGAAAATGGGAGACAGAGCTGAACTGGGTCTGATTTGACAACATTTATGTTGCTGTTATGTAGAATGGATGCACTGATTATGTCTGTTGTGGGTGGAAAGGATGGATTGAACTATATGCTGAGCTATAAGAAAGGAGGGGACAGACTCTTTAGCAGGGTTTGTTGTGACAGGAGAAGGAGAAACAGTTCCAAAATAAAAGAAGGGAAATATAGGCTGGATATAAGGAAGATGTTTTTACAATAAAGGTAGCAAAGCACTAGAACTTGTTGCTGAGAAAAGCAGTGGATGCCCCATCCCTGGAAACATCCAAGGTCAGGCTGCATGGGACTCTGAGCAACCTGATCTTTCTGTAGGTGACCCTGTTCATTGCAGGGGGGTTGGACTAGGTGGCCTTTAAGGATCTCTTCCAACTCAAACAATTCTGTGGTTCTATGTGACAGGATAAGTCATAAGTCATAAGTCATACAGGATAAGCCCCGTAGAAGAAATGCTAAGTCATGGTTTGAACTAGTGATTAAGCACCTGGTGGGAAGGCAGGACCAACCCAGGGGAGCTCAGGTGCAGGCAATGCAACTGAGAGACTGGAAGGGGTGGAGCCAGGATGCACCCCTTCCCAGCCCTCATTTAAGGGTTGGCAGTGAAGGTGAGGGTGTCTTGCTGGGGATCCCTGTATGTGTGAGGTCTTCTGAAGGTAAGTGGTTTCTTTATTTTTGTGGCTTTTGTATTTGAGCCTGGGGCCTTGCTACTCTGCTGTTGTTGCTGTGCTTTCCATCATACTGCAATGTTACATATTCATATAAGGAAACAGGTGAAGCCTGCAGTTTAGAGAGTTGCAGAGATGTGAGAAAAATCTGATAGAGCTCACCTTACCCGTGTGTCCTGTTGCTTCTGGGGTCTTCTAATGTATGGGTCATGATGGATGCAGGGAAATCCCTGGTTTTGAAAGATTTCTGTTAACTTGATCTTTATTATCTGCTCTTGTGGATGACTGAGCACCCTGAATTGCTGATGAGTTCTCTGTTGCCCGGGTTAGATTGGGGGGAGAAGGAAGGAGAGCCTGAAAGGCTGAACTAAGAATGGCTGTTGAGGGTAAGGAAAGGTGTAAGGGATGAAGAGATCCTCTGCTAATCCTAAAACTTAGTGCTACATCCAGAGAAATCTTGCTGGACAGGTTAATAGGATTATTTCTCATCTTGGCAGACTTGATTTTTCCACTCACTTCCAAAGCTATAATCAAGGACTGATTCCACTAAGTTAATGAAATTATGCTAATGTAAGTCTGATACACACAGCTTACTGAAGCTGATGGAACTTTTATGATGAACATGAGTAAAAGCAGGAAAAAGGCTTTAAGCTTTTCCCCATTTTGCATGTTATTTATGTAGCAGCATTAATCAGTAGTAATATCTCAGTGCTATTGGAACAATGCAGGAGCATTGAAAAAAGTGGAAGTGGAGCAGTTATTTTTGGTCTTATGCCATTGGGTGCAGTCCATTTCTATGGCCGTGAGTTGGTTCCCCATAAAACCACAATGAGAGGGTGTTCGACTGGCTTTGCTGTCAGGAGCTGGGGTGGAGTTTGAAGTAGCTGACAAGTGCATTAGAGAAAATAAATAGATGTGGAATGCTTGAGAAGTTAGCTCAGTCGGAGCTGGAAAATCGTTTGGACTGCTGTGAGAAGGAATATTTGAGAAAGTGATTTGGTAGGAAAGTGCTTGGGTTGGCTAGTGATCGTTGATGCTGAGCGTGTTTTTTCTATATATTTGTGTAATTACACTACTTCCAGCTACTGTGGGACAAATAACAAACAACACCTGGCCACAAAGCCTCTTCAGAATGATGGAAAAATCACTACAGCAAATGAAATGCTTGTGGTCAAAAAATAAAACAGCATGCAGCAATGGAGGGAAATAGAGCACACAACATTGGACAGATTTCCCCCCTATTTTAAATACAGTTGTGTGAACCGGAGCAACAGTTGTCTCAGAAACTCCCATAGGCATCTCCTGACCCGAGAAAGTTTGCAGCATTTTTGTCTCAGATTTTGGTTGAACCTGGATGAATCACAGAATCACAGTGTGGTTTGTGTTGGAAGGGGTCTTTAAGATCATCTAGTTCCAACCCCCTGCTATTGGCAGGGGCACCTCCCTCTAGATCAGGCTGCTCAAAGCCCTGTGAAACATTGTGTGTCCACAATTCCTCAGATGAAAAAACTGCAGCAGAAAAATTGGCATTTCAACGCACGATTCAATATTTTTGATACAATGTGTTTAGTTTTTGAAAGCTAAAAACAGACTTGTTTGTTTCTATTTTCAGTTCTTCACTTCCTCCCTTTTTTATTGATTTTCTTTTTTTTTTTTTTCCTAGTGGATAA